CAAAATGGGTGTGATTGGATAAGAAGTGCATGATTGATAAGACTTTTATAAACAAAATTCAGGGGAACCAAATTAAGATTGTAAATCCTGTATATGTAAATGTATCTGTAAATGTATACAGATAAGGCCATGCATAGTGTAATGGAATGCACCAGCTACAAGTTTAATAGCTTCTTGGTAATAAATTATAGTCTCCAAGCCTTAATCCCAATGTTCTTTATGTAAAAGTGAAAAGGAGAATTAGACTGTCAAATGGATTTAGAAAGTGTGTTCCTTTCCAAGCAGTGCATATGTAGATGATGGATAACATTTATATCCATTTACATGTACAAAATGAGAAGGCCCCCTGGGCTAGCTGGCTTTTGGTCAATTGGGAAGGTAAAAAATTGAATTGAGTAACATAGTGCCTACCCTAGTGACTTATTAAATGGATTTGTCTATGGCTGCTAACCGATCTGCTGAGAAAGCCCTTTAACCTACTTCGACACATTTAAAGAAAAATGTGTGGAGCAATACTTGTGCTTATTTCTGTATGTGGGCCTCACAAAAATGAGGTGGCCTCAATTAAATTCATTGCCAAGGCTTTTGTTTTGTTGAACCTTATATATTTCTTCCTCCTGCTGAACAGAATTCATTTTTAAAGAAGGCAATAGTTTTTATTTTCTTCCATCGAGAAGCACAGCAAAACGGAATTCTTTACTTAAGTTGTCTTAACTGAGTATACTTCATCTTAATCAGCCTAATCAGGTGAATGGAAGGGATGTCTTTAGGTGAACCAGAGAGGTAGAAAGCCAAAGTAATAAAGGTCTGATGCTGACCTTTGTATAGAAGGTATTCTACAGAGATTGATAGATACCCTGGCTTTGTTCTCCCCACTCTCCTGACCCCAGCTATTGGGAAAATATCCAAAAGTCGTTTTCCTTAAATGGGATGGAGCCAAGACTAGGAGCGGAAACCAGTTTGAAAAATGGCTTGATAAAAAATGGCTTACGCAGCCAGCAATTTTGGCTCTTTGGCTATCTAACAATTTTTGCTCTGGTTTGTCACAAAGGTTTTCACGAACTTGTTCACGGTCTCCTTTTGGACAAAGGTTTATGCAACTGTGGAGTTGCACAGTTCCAGGGTAGCACTACTTTGGAATAGCACTAAGCCTATATTCACAATTAGCTCACAATCAGCTGATAGCCGGGCTTCCTTTGAAGAGGATCACAAAAAGTTGCTTATCCATGCCTGATGGTCAAGTTGTATTTAAACTCACGGGGTGAGCTTCTGGGTTATAGAAATATTTCCTGGTTGTGTAATTAACTTTATATTACATATTTATATACCGTCCAACACTGATCAGTCATAATAAAAATGGCACTAGGTGTACCTCACTGGGCAGGAGGGCAGGAAGTCTAAAAGAGCCCCCACCCCCCAAAAAAACTCTTTCTGGGGAGCTGATACCTCCACAGATGGGAGAGCACCCACTACACATGAGTTTATGCAGGTATGTCAAACTGCCAGGCCCGTGCGTCACTCCAAAACCGCACCCACCCTATTGCCGGCAATGGGGAAGAAGTCGCGATACGTCGCATGACATCACGTGATGTCACGAGTTTGACATGCCTGAGCTTTTGGAATCCTTTTAATGAGGTGTGAAACAGCCACCCATCATTGTAACCTACATTCATAGGGAGCAACCTACTCTCTATGAATTCCCAGCTGGGCTTCGAGGAAACGTTCCCGACTTCCAGTAGGGCCATGTTTTCATCCATTCAAATCCTTCTGCCAAAATGGGACTGAAAAAGAAATAAACCAAACTGAATGAATTAATCCAAAACAATCCTTGGTGAAAATCACACCCCAGAAAAGATTGGGGAGGAACTTCAGGTTTCAAAACCCGGAATTAAAACAAACCTGTGGAAGGATTCCTTTTTGTAATCATAAAGAGCAATCAAACCTAAACTTCACCTAATATTCAGTCTAAAAAAGTGAGTAGACTATTACTGGGCCAAATTGGGGGAGAAATAAGATTTTTTTAAAATCTCGTTTCTATTTCTTGTTCATGCAAAAATATACCTAGCCATAGCTATATTGTGACATAGTTTCTTCCCACCCCATTAGTTTTGTAACTTTGATTATAAAATACAAGCCTAATCTGCAAACTCCCTTGAAATGAATGGTAAGTGGAAACGCTGCTATTTGGAAAGCTACTATTGTTTCAAAAGTATTTGCTCAGCAATGCTTGAAGACTTACAGCTCTTACAGGAGCATAAACAATATGAGGCCGATATTGTGGGCTCCTTGGTGCTATCTGAGCTTGGTTGTTTTCTTACAAACAGTTTATTATCCAAACTAGGTAACCTCACTAGTGCTGCTAAGGACTAGGGTTTGTTCTCAGTTTATATTCCTAGTGGCTTGTCCTGTCAGTGTTGGTGGGAGTAGTCTTGGAGATTTTTTGGGTTGGGCTGTTTACTGTTGGCTTATTTGGCACTTCCTTGATTGTGGTATTGTTTACTTCTTGATTGTTGGTCTGATGTTAATCTTGGAGTTAATCTGTCCTCATCTAAGTGCTCAGTGCTAGTGATCCCCTCATTTCAGCCCTGAGATAACAAATATTCTCCTTTAGAGGCTGGTATTTTTTCTACTTCAAATTCCAATTTATTGCAGAAAAGTATTGTTGGCTTGGAATTAAGATATCTTTAGATGGTAGGTAGGTAGGTAGGTAGGTAGGTAGGTAGGTAGGTAGGTAGATAGATAGATAGATAGATAGATAGATAGATAGATAGATAGATAGATAGATAGATATGTAAATATATACTGTATATAAGCATATTTCTTGAAAATATGATCTTGCATCATACCTTTCTTCATCTTTAAAACTGTTGTTAAAATGACCTGGTTTTCCCCTCTGACAATAATTTTTGAAATAACATTTTAAAGCACTTCAAGGATGAGGGGAATGATCAGATGGTTGCTGCCCTCTAGTGGGTTATTCTGAAATGGATAAAAATGAAATCACACAAAATAATTATTTATCTGAAGTACGTTTCTTTTATCTTTTTTTCTACATGATGTTTTCTTTCCTTATCTATGATAGTTGAGATATAGTACACACAGTCCTTGACTTGCAATCAGTTGCTTAGCGACTGATCAAAATTACAAAGGACCTTGAAAAAGCTCCCTAAAATCTAGATTTGATGCACCAACATCCACGTTTCCTCCCCCCAATATGGCCATTTGCAGTGCCCCACAGCCATAGGGCTGTGGTTTATCCTTTCTGGAAATGCAGGGGTCTCCCTGCCAACATTCTTAGCTGTAATGAGCTCTGATGAAGGATTCTGTACAGATGCAAATCCATATCTGTAAATGCACAGATAATTGCTCAGTGAATCACAGCAACCTGTCCTTCGCATTGCAATTCTCTTGGTAATTTATTCACAAGAAAATCATTTCCTTTATCTTGTTTTAGATATTTTCAAAACACCTACAGTCCTTACAGTTTTGTCTTGAGCTCTGTAATGTTCTCACAGTACTAGTTTGCAAAAATTTACTTTGGTATAATATACCTCAAACCTGAGAAGTATTAGAGATATCAAATTCATTTCACAGGAAGTTCTCAAAAGTGTTTCTCCCTCCACTTTGAAAAAAAACCTATTCTGTGAGATCTTAGTATCACCCAGACAAGATACGATGATGTATTTGTGGTTCCAACAAAGAGGGAAGGAATAAAAAGCATAAGAATGAGAACCAGTTTGATCTAGTAGTTAAGGCACCAGGATAGAAAGCAGGAGGATGTGAGTTCAAGTCCTGTTTTAGCCATGAAAGGTGACATCTCTCAGCCCAACCCACCTCACAGAGTTGTTGTGGAGAAATAGGAAGAGAAAGGTGTGTTGAATATGGTGTGGCCTTGAGTTATTTGTAAAAATAATAAAGGTGGGATACAGATAAATTTAAATAAATAAATAAACTTCAAGTTATCTCAAAATCCAAGAGATGGCAACCACAAGCTCCTTAATTTTGGGTTATGGGTTTTTCTTATTCTTAATTTTAAAAAAAATAATTCTGTGAAACAGAAATCAGCAATGACAGCAAATTGCTGCATTTCTTTTAATTGATCTTCCCCCCTCTCTTACCATGGTTATCCTTCATGGCTCTCTTTTGAGAGGGAATACAATTGATAATAATAGTATCCAATAAACTTTCCAATATTTCCTGATATCAGTACTATTATGCACCATATCCAGGACTTTTTTTTTTGCATATTCTACATCTCACAACTTTATTGAGTATTCTGAGTAGAATCCAGCATAAATTGGCTATTGTTCATGTTTTAAGAAAACGTATGTAAAATATTACAACTGTTATCTTGATACTGGTGGACTAAAGTAGACTGGAGAGAATGTGCAAATCTCCCAATTCAGCACTGTTGTAGTTGATATGAATGTATAGACTAAGCCTATATAGATGGATGTTTGTCAGGCTGATTCAGTCAGTTTCTTAGGTAGTAAGTCTTTACCAATGGCTTTTGATGGCCATTTAGAAACAACAAAGAAGTTCCATTGTACTGCTTCTTTTCCTTTCATTTATACTTCAAAAGTAAGAAAATGACACAACCCCTTTCTAGCATTGGGGGGGCGGGAGAGAGAGAGAGACATTGTCAGCCTAGGTAAGACACTTAATAAAGTTCCTTGGTTCTTATTCCAAAGCAGTCAGTCTTGTCAACTACTTTGAAAAACCCTGGAATAGTAGAAAGCAGCTTTCCAAAATAGTGTCAAAAAGCATCATGTAATATAACATTTCCAAATTTGCACTGATGAAGTTACCTAATGGGGCAATTGAAACTTCTGCAAACAAGCAACCAAACTCAGACAGCACCAAGGGCTTTACGTTTCCAAATTTGGTGCTATTGGTGTCCTTGGCACTGGCCCCTTGCTATTTTTTTAAAGTTGAGGATCAAACATTTCTCTTGTGAGCCTATTCAATTAAGGGTATATCTCCCTGTTTGTATTTTGCAGATGCTATAATTGTGGTGGCTTCGATCATCATGCTAAGGAATGTATTCTACCTCCACAGCCAAAGAAGTGCCATTACTGTCAGAGCATCATGCACATGGTGGCAAACTGTCCACTTAAAACTGTTCCACAGCAGCCTACGAGTTACCAGGGAAGATATGAAGCTGACACCCAGCCCTCCACATCAGCCTTCCTGAGGGAAGGAGGAGGAGGAGGGGCCTATGGCTATACTTCTCCATCTTATACTCTGGAAGGAAGGCCAGATATCTTACAGCATTCAGGAAAGTCACCTCAAGAAGCTGCTTCAAGTAAGTTTTCTCCATCACCAGAAGAGCAAAGCCGGAAGGGACCGTCAATTCAAAAAAGAAAAAAGACTTAAAAAGAGTTGTATCACCGCCTTTTATTACCTCTTGGGATGTCTACCTCATTCAAGCACAAGGAGAATAATCTCATGTATTATCCTGCAGCAAACCTCAATTTTTAACTACTGTTGTGGACCGGAGGTCTTTTGAAAACAAAAATAACCAAAGCAAATCAGTCACTCCAAGTAAATTTCAGATGTGTTTAATGGCTAATGGGTTTCTAAACTGTTTGGGCATCAGGATCTCATATGATTTTTAAATTTAGCCTAAATTATTCTTGGGCATATATTCTTTGCTTCTTCCCCTCTTTTCCAGAACAGCCCTATAGAGTTAAGGAAGACTATGCTTCCTTAGCTGCTTGAGTTCTCTGTGATTTATCTTAACCATGTCTTGTGTGGAAAAAAAACACCAATTTCAAACCATGATTTATGATGGCTTTTTGAACAAACTACGGTTAAGACAATGCCCATGATAGTATTTGTTAATTCTAAACAGCAATTAATATGAAATGGAAGTCAGCATTTTTTTAAATTTCTCCACAGCCATCCAAGGGCTGGGAAGCAGCACATATCCCCACTCTGCACAGAAACTCATTCCTGTCACAATAAACCATCTGACATTTTGATGTACAAACTAGCCCATTGCCTGAATGTATACATTAAATACTGTGTTTCTTGAATTCATGGGAAAGTAATAGTTTGAGTTTTGAATGATTTTTTTTTCTTTTGACATTGCTTTTTTTTTTAATTATAGGAGAGAAAGAAGGGGAGGGAATGAATTGTAACCATACTTTCCCGATAATTCAAACAATATTTAACTACTTAGAGTCACCATGACCATGGTACTAAATAGATACATCCTACAATACATCCTTGTAGGATTCAGGGAAATTACAATTCCTGTTGTGAAAAAAATGGAGGATGGAAGTTTTTAGTCCTTAGCTTGAAAGGGTAATGCCTTGGTTTAAAGATGCCTCAGAATTGCCACAAAGTTTTAAAGAAGTAAAGGTGCTTCCCCCTTTATTCCCTGCCCTCCCTCTAGACAATGAATGTGTTATCTGAAATACTGTATCAACTCAATATGATTTATATAAAGATTAGGTGATTGTATGGGATAATGTAAACGTTAAAGTAATGGTTTAAAGTGATATTGAGATGCCATTTGGACTCCTTTTTTTGCAAAACTTGATTGGACCCATCTTGTGCAACTCTTGAGAAAATCGGTGGTGGTGGCAGCAGTATCATCTTCCAATTCAGTGTCCATGTCACTGGATAGATTTCTATAGGTCTTTCCAAGACCTATAGAAGACCTTTTTACTTCCCAAAGAACAATATCTGTTTTACAGTGCAATCCTGTGTAAGATCTCAATAGCCTCAAGCTCAAGAAAAATTAGTGTATAGGATTGCAGTCTTAAACTTATTTATTTGCTATATTATGTAACCGTAATTTCAGTCTGTGTACATGCTGAATTTTTAAAAAGCCTATAGAGTTGACCAGGTGCTTGGGGGATTGATTTTAGAAATGGAGATTAGAAAGACAATTAACTGGCAATACATTTATCCTGTCCCGCTCATATGCACAGACATCACAAGAGTTTGAAATCTTAATTGAAGGCTTTGCCAGCCCCAAATAGTATTCCCCAGGATTCACCTCACACAGGAACCAGCACAAAAGCCAATGAGTCCAATTCTCAGTTGCTTGTCTGGTCGCTCCTTCAGCTTTCCTGGCCTCTCCTCCTGCTCTTGTCCATCCCCTCCTGATTCAGAGTCCCCCTTCCAGATGTTCCTCAAAGTTCCACTTTGAAGTTCCTGAACCCAGCTCTTCCTCATTGTCTGAACCAGCTTCTGAGACATCCATTACACTATTTCCCACCCCACCCCCAGCATGGTCTGTCCTCCCCATCCCCATGGACCAGTTTCCATGGGTACTGGAGGTGGAACTAGCAGACCAGACAGGGGGCATGCACAGCCTCACCATTTTCCCAGGACATGTCCTCAGGGCAATATCCCTTCCAGTTGATCAAGTACTGCAATCAGTTCTGATGCCATCTAGAGTCTACGATATGGGCCACCTCATACTCCGGCTGGCCCTTTCTGAAGTTCCTGAAAACAGCTCTTCCTTGTTGTCCAAAGTGGCGTCTGGGGCATCCATTACAATATTATTTGATCAGGATCAAACTGTCACATTTTTCCATTCTCCCAAGAACGAGCTAGAATCAATTTCTAACCCATTTCACCAATTTTGGGGAGATAAGCATTGTGCACATTTATTATGAGTCATCCTAATATATTTGAGTGGGATAAAACCACTTGATTTATTAAGATGCTTACAAACCCAAAATATCATTTAAGCATGGCTAAAACCACTATATGCAGTTCCAGGACTGTTGATCTCCTAAAGCAGAGATGCGGCCCGCGAAGCCATCCTGGAAACAGTGAGGGAACGGCCCCCGCTGCCTTGGCCCTGGCCCAGGCCAGCCGGGAGCCAATGTACAATTTTGTGGTGGCCATTTTGGCACTTGCCCCGGTGGACCATGCCTTGGCACTTGCCCCGGTCCCACCCCCTTCTGCCAGAGACCCTCAGATCTGTCCCACTCCTGCCCAGGCCCCCACAGACACCCTTGACGCGAATGATGTAGAACTGGTCACGCCCACCCAGTAGGCCACACCCACTTTATTCACGCCCACCAAGTAGGCTGCACCCACTCTGGCCACACCCACCCGGTCCCCCCAAGGGCAACCGCAATGCTGATGCGCCCCTCAGTGAAATTGAGTTTGACACCCTTGTCCTAAAGGAACAACAGCTGCTGTTGATAACCTTCAAAGACATATGAGCTGGATATTAATTAAGTCCCATGGACCACTGCTTCTTCCTTTTAAAATGACTCTTGAAGAAATACTTTTCCCCATTTATTTGGCAAACTAATATAAAAGCAAATATAAGTAAAGAAGATCTGATTTTATAACATAGTTTGAACCAAATCTTCAGACTTTCTTCAATTAAGTCATGGATGTCCAACATTTGGGCTGCACTGAGCGAAGAGAAATTGTTTTTGGCCCCATATAGCTTAGTTAATGTATATAAATCACATAATAATGTTAAAAGTTTACAATTTTGTGGGGCCACATGATTAGCTGGTTGTGGCCTATGGGCCATGGATTGGACACACCCAGGTTAAGTCATTGAGAACATCAGGGCTTGTTTTTGGTAGGCTCTGATCTATCTGAGAGGACCTTATTATCTGCAGAAAAAGTCCTCTCTGGATACTGTTGCTCGTACTGCTGTCACCGCTACCCCACCTTCCTTCAGGAAAATGCCTCAGTAGCCTAAAGGTAGGTCCAATTCCAATGATGAAAATTTGCTTCAAATCCATAGCAGTGCTGGAGGGAAAGAAGAATCTCGGTGGTTTATACTGAAGTTTTCAGTGAACTTTAATGCAAAGTGGGGTGTTTTGGTTTTTTGGGTTTTATTTTGTTTTTATTTTGACGATACTGAATGTGATGTATGTATAGAGAACTCCTTCCTTGCCTTATGCAAGGATTGTAAACTTATTTAAGTTATGTAGACAAATCGAAGTGGCGTGGCCTAATCTTTTAGTAGATATAATAACTGGGTTATAAAACAGCAACAATGTCAAGGGTAAGGTCACTTTGAAAATATAAAGCAAAATTTGTTGACCTTTATTTAGAGAGCAATATGGAAATGGTGGATTTGAAAACTGGCCATTCTCTGTTTAGCTACTTTAAAATTCCAGAATTACTTTTTTTTTTTTGAGTGAAATAAGTAGTTCCAGCAGCCACAGACTGAATTGCTAAGAGAGCCTAGCAGACCTATTAAAAGTTTACATTTTATTTTTGTATATTGGAGGATGGTCACAATTGCAAAATATCCTTCTCAGGACAAAGAACCTTGCTCAGGGAAAATGGCATGTAATTATTATTTTTCTTTTCTTTTACAGATTGCTTGCTTGTTCAGAACAAACCAAAAATGCTTTGATACTGCTATGTACCGTGCTATTATATACATGTTATGTGCTAATGATTGTAACTACCTCTGTTTACTAATGAGTTTCTTATGACTCAAGATATCAACTTTTCGCATGATATTTCCCATGTATTGAAGTGAACACGTATAACTTGACATCATAAGCATGGCTGATTTTCAGGGCTGTGGGCAGGGCAATGTCTCCCCGTTCCTGAATTTCTATGCCACATTGTTAATATAGGGAAGAATATAGTTATTTCTGTTTACAGCAAACAACTACCTCATACTTACCACAGAAGCAATACCTGTGTGTTGCTCTGGCCTTAAATGTGGCTTTTGATTCTATGGTACATACCTCTACTTTAAAAAAAAATTGTTTGTGCAACATATATTACAATGATATTTAGTTTTGAAAACGATGCAGCTGTTTGAAATGATGTGAGAGTCTCTCTTGAAATTTAAATTTTTCTACCTGGTTGACAGAGAAAGAGGTGCTGTTGATATACCAGTAGGAATTTTCTTCCCCTCTAAGAAAGAACCAAAATGTGGGAATTAACTAATTAACTCATTATTCCTGGATGGCAAGAGAATTGTTAGGTTTTTTTTTCTTGCTTTCTGTTGTAAGGTATAATTATCTGCTGAAAGTAAATAATAAGCAGTTATGTAATCAACTAGCAGACTCCTAGTGAGAGTGATACTATATTTTTCTCATATTTATCCCATTTCAGTATGTTTGCCAGTTTGTAAGGGACATGGAAAAACTATATTGTTCCAAAGTAATGCTCTCCTAGGTTTCATTGCTTTGATAATGGGCAGGCTCCAGCAAGAATAGGCTGCCCAGCCCTAGGCTTTTGTCTGGCCTAAATAATCCCATGGCCCAAATCAGGCAATCTCAGAGCAGAAAGAGCTTTGGGTTTCAGCATGGCGCCCTCATTCCCCTCCTCACCTCTCTCTGCAGACCCAGATACAAGGAAAGATAAGTGTGATTTGTTAAATCATGTTTCCCACTGACATCTGAACCAGGTTTAAACAT